TCTATCACTTTTCCTTTCCATCTCCAATTACTTTTCCCTATTCTTCCTCCCCCCGATCTAAATCTCATAATCTTCGTCTTACTCGTATTCAGTTCTAACCTTTTCCCGTCCAAATATCTCTCCAACCTCTCCATCATACTCCTCAACCCGTCCTCTTCCTCTGCCATCATCATCCGTGTATGTTAGGGTATACACTTTTCCCTCCCCCAATTTTATTCCCCCATCTATCTCTTTCCATCTCCTCATCCAAGTCCGCCATCAATACATTGAACACCAGTGAGCTCAATTGGCACCCCTGCCTTACCCCCCTCGCAGTCCAGAAGCTTTCTCCGATCTCCCCTCCCACTTTGACTCTACTCCTTGTTTCTCTTATCAGTCTTTCCACTCTCCTCACCAATCCCTCCCTAATACCTCGTTCCCTCATCGTCCTGCACAATACTTCTCTGTCCATCAAGTCAAAAGCCTCCTTAACATCTATGAACAGTGCTACTTTCTTTTCTTTCTTCTTCCCTAGCTGCCTGTTCACCAGATAATTCAACACATAAATATTATCTATGGTTCCTACCCCCTTCCTAAAATCCGTCTGATTCGGTGGAATCACCTTCTTTTCCTAGATTTCCTTTCTTAACCTTTCCGCCAACACTGCAGTATACACCTTATACAGTGTTGACATTAAAGTGACCATTCTATATTCCTCCACCCTTTCGCACTCTTCTTTTTTTACAATCGGAACAACTCCTTTCTTCCTACTTTTATGTGAGTATTTATCGGTATATGTCTTACATTATTTTGCTTTTCTTTCTTTATATCAATTCCAATTTTCTTACAATATTAACATTGATAATATTGCGCTAAATTTTTAGTACATTAAACTTACTAAATTCTTTTAAACTCAACACAGCTGGTATAAATTTGATGTCACGCAGCTTCATGATGTTAATAGTCAGTCGTTCTGCAGTGGGTAGATAGCTTACAGCTAACAAAATGCTGCCAAATTCCTAAAAAGTATAATTATAAACATATTATTTTTCGAATTATTATTATATAGTATACTTTTTTATTAAAAAAGATTTTTTCAATTTTTATTTATTGCATGTTGTAGCCTGCGTGAAGTAGAAAAAAACTCCCCCTTTTAATTATTATTTCCCTATAAGAATATTATTTATTCTGTTCATTTATTTTGCAAATTAAAATTTATTTAAGCTAATCTTTAATTAATAAAAAAGTAATAAATAAACAACTATTATTGTGTTATTACAATAATGAATATTCAAAGTCAAGATCATGATAGTGAACAATATTAAAGAAGTTTTAGCCATTGTTCGGTCACCTTAGATAATGCTGACGATATTATAACTTATTTACTTAACCCAAAAACATTTTATTTAAGTGTTTTGGAAAGCTCGCAAAATAAGCTACAAGAATGCCCAATAAAAAATTGGGAGTTTCATTTAAAAAATTCAAGGTGATCTTGATTTTTAATTAAAAGATTTTTTTTTCAATTTTTATTTATCACATGTTGTAGTCTGCGTGAAGTAGTAAAAAATCCCCCTTTCAATTTTTTTTTAACTACCGAAAATGTCTCAAAAATCGTGCGGACCATTACGCTGAATACCCTGTATGTGTATATATAATATTTAAAATACGAGGGTCATTTGAAAAGTTTCCGGCCTTATCAACATAAAGTAACTGTAGAAAAAAATTTCTTTCGCCGTCCGATAGATAGCCTTGACATATGTAAACCGTAAAAATTTGAAGTCATTGTGATCATTACTCTGTCTATAGCAACTCT